GCCAACAGCCGGGTTGGCCTGGCGGGTGCTGGAGGTTAGGGTTTAGGGTTTAGGGGTTGGGGTTTATAGGGTTTAGGGTTTAGGGTTTGGGGTTTGGGGTTTTAGGGCTTGGGGTTTTAGGGTTTAGGGTTTAGGGTTTAGGGAGGGCTTATGGGGTTTAGGGCTTAGGGCTTGTGGGGTTCAGAGTTTAGGATTTGCGGTATCAGGGTTTAGGGCTGAAGGAGAGGCAGAGAGCAACAGTAACAGAGAGAGAGAGAGAGGTCCAGACTTACACCTAAGCCCTTTAGCCGGCCACAAAGGTTTAGGGTTTAGGGTTGAGGGTTTTAGGGTATTCGAGTTTAGGGCTTTAGGGCTTTAGGGTTTAAGGGTTGAAGCCTAGTTCGCGAAACCCGAAAGGCTGCTGAGCCCACAAGACACGCGCCTGGGCATTCTGAAACAGCTCCGGCGCTTCGCGCAGGACGTATCCTTCACAGCAGCTGTTGTGTGAATTAAGGTGTCAAACCCTTATAAACCTTAAACCCTAAACCCTAAAGCTGAAACCCTAAACCCTAAACCGTAAACCCGAAACCCTAAACTGCTGTTGTGTCTAGAAGGTGTCAAACCCTAAACCTTAAACCCTAAACTGCGTCAAAGTATGGTACATGAAGCCTTCGTCCCGGGTGGCCCTGAACCGAAACCCTCCAAACCTGAACCCCTAATGTAGGGGCCAACCAACAATATTTTGGGGGTTCCTTAATATAATTATAGTTTATCGGGCCCCCAAACCCTATTCTAATCATTAAGGCCCCTATATTACACTGCAACCAAATTGTTAAGGCTATCAGAGTGTAGGGATGTTTAGAGTATACCTTAGCCTACCCACTTTTTGTTATAGATTCTTTCGTATAAAGCCCTGATATGGGATTTAAAGGGACCCTACAAAAAGTAGGTTCTGGTGGGTTATGGTCGGGTTAAGGGGTTTAGGGTAGAGGCTGGCTATGCGCCCACCCAAGCAGCTGCACAGGAACAACTCTGAGACCAAACAAAGTACACACTGTTCACGTGCACATGGGTAGTTGTCAAAATTATGGTCCCTTTTGGGGTACCCTAAATGATAGGTGCCGTATTATAATAAGGACCCAAGAAGGCACCATAATTTTGACAACCACCCACATGACATGGACTTTTAGAATCAGGGATGGGGATTTCGGCGAGAGATTTGGGGATTGTGGTTTTGGAGTGTACCCAAAGTTCTGCAGGAAGTAGGCTGCTGCTCCGTTGATGGTGCATCTAACATGAGGCTTGCAAAAAAAGCGCAGCGGAGCCCGTTGCGGATGGCTGTTGTCTCCACCTTGCGTCCTCTGGAATTCCGAAATTCTTCAAGATCTCCAGAATGCTCAAGACCATCGGTTGGTGGAGGACCCCCAGCATCGAGTCCGGATGCTGTCCATGATTGATGTATGTCCAATGCACACTTGCCCATCGGGTAGTATCAGGGGACTCAAGCACTCCACCCTTCATTAGGGTTTAGGGTTTAGGGTTTAGGGTTTTTCAGGCAGACGAAACCAGTGCACGACATGTTGCTCTCAAGAGGGGCTGGAGATGGTTTGTAATTGTATCTCCCCATGACTAGACTTCCTTCTGTCGTGCTCGTCTCACAAAATTCACACTGCAGGTATCATCCTGATCCAACACCGCCCTTTAAGGGTCCTAGTTAGGTATTGTTCCTGCGGATACTTCCCAAGTCATCATAGCAATTCCTAACATAGAAACCCTGCGTTCTACTACATAGCTACTTAGGACCCTTTGGGTATGTGGGAAGACCATCTCTTGTGGGGTTCCATGATATTTTCACCGAGGGTAACTGGACTTCTCAAGCCGTGCTCTAACGTAGCGCTGTGCTCGGACTAATGCAGGGGCCTTAAGGAATAGAATAGGGTTGTGGGCTATTTTTTGAGGAACCCTAAGCATAATATCAGTCATTATTTAGGCTTCTACATTACGTTGCCTTGATGGTTGCTTTGACAACTCATGAAAAGTTGACCATCGACAGCGGCTTTTTTTGGATGTTAATGCGATTTGGCTTCGTCAACAACGAGTTGTTTCATTGCAGCAACATGACACGTCCAGGAGGAGGTTTCCATAACCATTCAGCCTACCAAACCCCGTAAGCCCTGAGCCCGAACTGAAGTCCTTGGCCTCAAACCCCTAAACCCCTAAACCCTGGACCTCACAACCCTAAACCTCACACCGTCTAAACCCTAACCCCTAAACCTGTTCGGGCTCCGTATCATCATAGTATCATGGCCTCACAACCCTATTCCTACTTAAAGGATCATCATGGGACTTAGTAACTACGGTTATAAATAACGTAGCTATGCTTATAACTACTTATACCCCCATTTAAGATACTTATAACCTTACTTACTAAGTCCCATGACCCTCCAACCCTAAACCCTAAACCCTAAACCCTATTATTCAGGCCCCAATCATAAGCCCTGGAGACCTCAGCAACCCGTGCGGACCTGGTCTCTCTTTGATCCCGTCGGCGGTCAGCCACCTGAGAGACCCGTTTAGGGTTTATGGCCTCTAAATTAAAAGGGTTTAGGGTTTAGGGTTTAGGGTTTGGGGTTTAGGCTTTAGGGTTTAGGGTTTAGGGTTTATGGCTTAGGAGTTTAGTTAAAGGAAACTACAGGTGGGGAGATTAGGGTATATAGGGCTTCTGTAAGGCTTCCATACGGTATATAGACCTTCTATAAGGCTCCTATAACGGTAACTACCCACCTGAAAATGTCCTAGATTCAGGGTCCCTAAACTCTAAACCCTCAACCCTAAACGTTCAGGGCTGAGGGTTGAGGGCTTCGGGTTCTCTAGGGCTTGTGCCGTTTAGGATTTTCAAGTTCGTGTCCGCAGCCCTCTGTCCTAAGGCTCAACATAGCCCCAAAGGCATTACCTGGACCCCAAAAGTATGTAAATTTATCGACTTTTTTTGGGTCTAGGGCCATTATTTTACCTACTTGAGGGGCTTCGGGTTTAGGGTTTATAGGGTTTAGGGTTATAGTGTGGTCTTTAAAGCCCAAAAGCCTTCAAACTGGGTTTAGAGATGCTGTTCTTGGACCTCGCTAAGCGTGAAGAACCCGAAAGCTTGCCTTCTTAGCTTAGTTTGCGGATATACCCTGGGAAAAACAAAAACAAAGAACACGGCTCAAGGAAATAGTTAGATGAAAGATCAGGAGAATTTTGGCTATTGGCGCCGTAAACCCTAAACCATAAACCCTAAACCCCAAACCCTTCTGGAATTTGGGGCGTGGGATTCTGAGCTTTGGGTCTGCACTGCATGAGTTCAACTTCACAGAATCTGGGAGTTTCCGAAAATAAGGGGTACCGTATTTGGGGGTCCTTATAATAGGGATCCTACTATTTAGGGTACTATATTAGGGTCCCCTATTTTCCGGAAACTCCCATATGGAGTTGAAGGTACACGTCGCCTTGGTGGCCCTCGTCGCCGCAGGGCTTTACACCAAATACGTCGAGCCCTGTTTGGTGAGTTGGGGTTTAAGGTCTACCTTAAACTACCAAAACCTACTGTTTTGTAGGGTCCCCATAAATCCCATATTAGGGTTTATAATAAGAACCTACAAAAAAGTGGGTTTGGGTTCTTAAGGTAGGGTTTTCGGGTTAAGAGCTTCATCGCTTGCTAGTGCTGAGCACCCCGTCTACACAAGCAGTCCTTGGGCTTTAGGGTTTAGGGTTTAGGGCTTAGGGTTTTGTCTCTCTGTGGGTCGAATCTCAACGGGTGCTCTTCAAGGTTTAGAGCCAAGGAAAGGCATCGGAGCAGTGTCTACCTGAACCTACCAAAACCCATTCTTTGTAGGTTCCGAACATGAACCCTAATATGAGACTTAAAGGGACCCTACCAAAAAAGTCGGTTCTGGTGGGTTAAGGTAGGAGCACCCCTAAACCCCGCTAAACCCTCTCATCAACTCTGCCCTCCATGAAGCCCGATTCTTCCACCCAAAACTCTATAAACACTAAACACAAACCCTAAACCCTAAACCCTAAACCCCAAAACCCTACACACTGAACTCTAAACCCAACGCGATAAAGCTCTAAAGGGCCTGCAAAACGTCGAGAAGACGTGTAGCAGAAAACCCTTAGACCATTGAGACCCGAAGCCCTAAATCCTGAGCCCAAGCCTGGACCCTAAACAGAAAACCCGGGTTTAGGGTTTAGGGTTGGACTCTAAAGACGCAGGCCTTGTTAGCGCCACCCTCTCCGAGTGCTTGAGCTCGTCGAAGGCGTCGCAGACAGCCTCTCCACCTGAGGCAGAGGTTGAGTCTGTGTCTAATATAGGCGCCTTAGTAATTAGAATGGGGTTTTGGGGCGCATTATAGTATAATCATAACAAGGAGCCCCCAGAATAGTATAGATAAGTACTTAGGCTGCTATACCAGCATGTTTCGAAAGGTTTCCACAGCCTAGGGCTTGGGATTTAGGGTTTAGAGTTTAGGATTTAGGGTTTGGGATTTAGGGTTTAGGGTTTAGGGTTTAGGTTTAAGATGTAGGGCTTAGGATTTAGGGTTTGAGTTTCTGGGCCTCGTGGTCGGGCGCGTGAA